GGCGCCACAGGTGGAGGATTAACCAAGTGAGCCAGGGTGCTGGCCCTGCTAAGTAAAGATTTCAACAGACTACACCCACACAGACACACAAAGTATAGAGTACTGATTAGGTAGTAGTTTTACCATTAATTCACATAGTACAACACGTTAAGGACAGAAGTTCTACATGGGGAGCAGGTGCACAGTGACTCCATTTTTGATTTAACAATTGACACTCTTATTTATGATGTCAATAATAACCCGAGGCTTTTGTCATGAGCTGCCAAGGCTATGGGAGCCTCTTGAGTTCGCCAACTCCAATCTTATTTAGACAAGGCCATAGTCAAAGTGGAACTTCTCTCCTCCCTTCAGAGAAAGGTACTGCCTTCTTTTATGGCCCATTCTTTCTGCTGGGATCTCACTCACAGAGATCTTTCATTTAGGTCTTTTTTTTTTAGCCACAGTGTCTTGGCTTTCCATGCCTGAGTAACTCTCATGGGCTTTTTAGCCAGATTTGAATGCCTTAAGGGCTGAATCTGAGGACAGAGTGCTGTTTAGGACATCTGCCATTCTGTGAGTTTGCTATGTATCCTACTTCCCATGTAGGATCATTCTCCCCTTTTCAATTCTATCAATTATTAGTTGCAGACACTGGTCTTATTTATGTAATCCCTTTTACATTTAATCCTATCATTATGATCAATTATGAACTGAAACTGATCACTTTAACAAGTAGGATGGCATTGGTACATGCCACCTTGATGGGATTGAATTGGAATCCCCTGGCACATTTTTAGCTCTACCATTAGGCGTAAGTCTCAGTGAGCATGTGCCAAACTGTACATCTCCCTCTCTTATTCCCACTCTTATATTTAACGGGGATCACTTTCCAGTTAAATTTAAACACCTAAGAATAATTGTGTGTTAATTAAAGAGTTCAACCAACAGTATTAAGTAGAACAAAAAATACTAAAAGGGATAAAGTAGTAAGTTATTCTTCGACAGTCAGGACAAGGGCTCATCAAGTCATTGTTTCTCATAGTATCCATTTCACTTCTACAGGTTTCCTTTTAGGTGCTCAGTTGTCACCAATCAGGGAGAACATATGATATTTGTCCCTTTGGGACTGGCTTATTTCACTCAGCATGAATTCTTTAACTAATGAATTTGCCTCTCATTGCTTCTGAGTAATCTATGATTAATCTTTTGAGTTCCATTTCAGGCATTTAATCAGTCTCTTCACCTTCACATTCTAATATTGAAGTTTTGCTGTGTTTCTTTGGGGGGTCATGATGTCTTCCTTATTCTTGTTTCTTGAATTTCTGCCTTTATTTTTAGACATTCATGGAAATACTTGTTGTATTTTTCCCTCTGGTGATTTTTATCTTTGAACTATGCCTCTGTGTCCTAATTTAATGTCTGCTTTTTTAGTGAATACACAGAGGTGTATGCTTGGTGAGGCCATGCAGCTGTAGTCAGTGGGACAGGTATCCAGGGTGACACCCAACTTGAGATTGGTAGATCTCCTTTTTCAGAACAAAAGAGGGTATGGTCCTCTCTTTTGGTGTAATCACACCCTCACCTCTTCTTTTCCAGGGTGATCAATGCATGGGTGTTTGCCCACAGTGGGTGCAATAGTCATCTGTACTGCCATATGAACCGCATAAAGAATTTGTGCAGTCCTGTGTGAGCACAGATCCCGTTGTAAGGACCCACCCTAGGTAATCTGGGAGTTCTGTGCATGAGGAGTAACTTCTATTGATTGCCCAGAGACCCAGCTACACCCTGTGCCTTCTCATGCAGTTATATAGTTCTCACGGTCTCAGCACATAAGGCTCCCACAGTCATGGGATACAGAAGATCCACTCTGCCCTGCTAGCTTGTCCTGTCCATAGAGAGACAGAGATATTCTCAGAGCCAACTGCCTGTGGTTGTTCCACCTAGGTGGTTTGAGCCCTGGATCCTGTGATATGTTTAGAGGCTGGGAGCACCTCTGAGACCTATGTGATTCTCTAGCTCCTTTCAGTCCTCCTAGTCAGACTAAAAGTCTTTTTGGCCTATGATCATTTTACAATTAAAAATTGTAGACTCTAGATATTTTGGTTAGATATGTCTATCACCATTTACTGCATTTAAATTCAAACTCAGAAACCATTTAAAGAATTGGAATGTACAAGTGTTTCGTCCACTAGTCATCAGAGGAATGACCGTTCATATCATGTAAGCTCTGGAAAAGCTACTGCACATCCAGGAGGAAAAATAAGGGGAAAGGTAAAATAATATCTTCATATAATAAAGAAAACATTTTGATCTGCAACCCCTTTGAAAATAGCTAAACAAGTGGAATAATTGTCCCTAGATCATACATTTTGAAGTGCTACTGTAGATAAGCTCAACACATCTATTAAAATCTAATTATATTTTTTATTATATTTTTTTATTTTATTTATTTTTCTTTTTACAGGCAGAGTGGACAGTGAGAGAGAGAGAGAGAGAGAAGTCTTCCTTTTTGCCATTTGTTCACCCTCCAATGGCCGCCGTGGCCAGCGCGCTAAGGCCGGCGCACCGCGCCTATCAGAAGGCAGGAGCCAGGTACTTATCCTGGTCTCCCATGGGGTGCAGGGCCCAAGGACTTGGGCCATCCTCCACTGCACTCCCGGGCCACAGCAGAGAGCTGGCCTGGAAGAGAGGCAACCAGGACAGAATCCGGTGCCCTGACCGGGACTAGAACCCGCAAGGCGGAGGATTAGCCTATTGAGCTGCGGCACCGGCCAAAAAAAAAAAAAAAAAAAAAGAAAAAAGAAGAAATTATCAATTCCCAACTTGACTCTCACTGGGATTAAACATGACAATAGGTCTGATCTGATTTCATCATCATTTAAAAAATCATCTATTATTTTTCACTTTATGTTTCTGTGTGGGAGCAAACTGTTGAAATCTTTACTTAATGTATGCTAAACTGATCTTCTGTATATAAAGAGAATCAAAAATGAATCTTGATGTGAATGGAAGGGGAGAGGGAGTGGGAGAGGGGAGGGTTGCGGGTGGGAGGGACGTTATGGGGGGGAAGCCATTGTAATCCATAAGCTGTACTTTGGAAATTTATATTAATTAAATAAAAGTTAAAAATAAAATAAAATAAAATAAAATAAAATAAAAAAACTAATTATATTTAAAGGTTTATATAACAAAAGGGATTTGAAGATATAAGGGTATGATCAAAGGGTTTTATGTTCTGGTGCTCATCTGGCTAGTCAGTAGCTTAGACATGAGAAAAAGTGCTCAATAGAAGGAAGCATTGATGTCCTGAAGGCCAGGTTGCAAGGCTGTACAATCTATCAAATACAAATTGTCCCTTGTTAGGAAGGCTCAACATATACAAATTCATAAATATAGCACATCATATCAACAGAATGAATAACAAAATCATATGATCATCTCAATAGATGTGGATAAAACATTCAGTAACATTCAACACCTATGTATAATAAAAAGTTTGAATAAATTATGTATAGCAAGAACATACTTTAACATAATAAAAGCTATATATATGACAAACTCATAGACAACATCACACAGAATGGGGAAAAGTTGGCAAAATTTTCTTTTAAGATATGTAACAAGATAAGAGTGTCCTCTCTCACTGCTTTTATTCAGTGTGGTACTGGAATATTTATCCAGAGCAATTATACAAGAAAAAGAAAAAAAAAGGCAGGCAAAAAGGAAAGGCAGCAATCAAATTATCCCTGATTGAAGAAGAAATGATTTTATATACAAGGTGAACAAAAAGATTCCACCAATAGAATATTAGAATTGATAAGAGAATTCAGTAAATTTTCAGGATATAAAATCAACATGCCAAAAAATGATGGCATTTTTATATACCAATAGCAAACTCAATGAGAAAGAAAGTATAAAAAGCAATCCAATAGCTAACAGCAACAACAAAAATAACCTTGTAATAACTTTAAACAAATTTGTGAAAGATCTCTACAATATAAATTTCTCTGCTTCTGATATAACTTCTTACTCATGCACCTGGAAAAATAGGCTATGATGGTCCAAATGCTTGGATTCCTGCCAGCCACTGGAGAGACCTGGATAGAGTCCCAAGATCCTGACTTGTGCCTGGCACATCACTAGCTGTTGAAGGCATTTAGGAAGTAGACCAGTGGATAGAAGATATCTCTCTCATGCTCTGCCTTTCAAATAAATAAATCAGATAAGTGAGCTAAAGACATGCCCGCGAGAAGACAGAAGAGACAATTTCTCCAACATGTGGAACAGATTAAATCAAGACCCCTACCTCTCACTGCATACAAAATCAACTCAAAGTGGAAAACTGTTGAAGTTAACTGTTAGAAAAAAAAACAAAGGGGAAATGCTTCAAGACATTGGCATAGGCAAAGACTTTTGGATAAGCCCCCAAAAAACAGAGACAACAAAAAAACTGGACAAATGGGATTCTAGCAAACCAGGAAGCTTCTGCAGAACAAAGGAAACAATATACAGAGTGAAGAGATCATGAAAAGAGTGGAAAACTATTTGCAAACTATTCATATTAATAAACCAAATAGAGTTTTTAAAAAGTCAACACCAAAATAATAACTAAGGTGTTAAGATGTGGGCAGTGTTAAAAGGGGGCAGTGTGTAGTGGTATAATAGGTTAAGCTGACATTTAGGATAACTTTATTAAATATCATAATGCCTGGTTCACATCCTGCCTCTACTTCTATTCCTGCTTCCTACTAATGCACACTTCGGGGGAAAACATATGATGGCTCATGTACTTGGGTTACTTGTTATATATTAATGTTAGCCGTCGCAAAACACACCGGACACTGGAGTAAGGGGAAGGGTTTACTGGGGAACACCCTACAGACAGGAGTGAAGGGGCGGCGAAGGAAAAATAGAGAAGGAGACTGTAAGAGAGAGAGACAGAGGAGGGAGAAGAGAGATGAGAGGAGGAGAGAAGCCAAAAGAGGCCAAGAGAGCACAGGAGAGAAGGATCAAGAGAGCAGGGAGCAGAGCCAAGAGATAAGAGTCGAGTTTGGAGAAGATATCCCAGAAGCTCCTGAGAGGCTGATGACAGACACCATTAATGAACCCATCCTGCTGTGTCGATTTCCCGTGGAGATCAAGTCCTTCTATATGCAGCGATGCCCCGAGGACTCCCACCTCACTGAATCTGTGGACGTGTTGATGCCCAACGTTGGTGAGATTGTGGGAGGCTCGATGCGTATCTGGGATAGTGAAGAAATGCTGGCAGGTTATAAGAGAGAAGGGATTGACCCCGCTCCCTACTACTGGTACACAGATCAGAGAAAATACGGGACATGTCCTCATGGAGGCTATGGCTTGGGCTTGGAGCGGTTCTTAACCTGGATCCTGAACCGGTACCACATCCGAGACGTGTGCCTGTACCCTCGGTTTGTGCAGCGCTGCAGGCCCTGACCGAGTCCTCCTGCAGCATAAACGAAGGAACTCCGTTCGTGCAAGGAGCAGACTGCCTCTTTCCAAAAGGAAAAAAACAGAAAGCCAAATCATCCCTCTTCTGTCCCATTGGCCTGTAACTATTTGTTTTTCTCTGTTTTTGATTCCTCTTACCATGAAAAGTCGTCCATATTGCTTGAACATCAAGCAGCGTTGCTGTCATTTGAAGAAAAGGAGTATTCATTGCAAAGTTTGGAAGAAACGAGTGGCATGGAGTTCTGTAGTTATGGATCCGTTTCAGCATTTTATCCAATTACAGGCTCTAGTCGCTGTGTTCTATGTACCGGATATATAATTAAACAGTTCTTAATTATGGCTTAAGACATTCCAGTAACTTAACCTTTCTGTCCTCTTAACAGTAACTAGAATTTGGTTTCTATCATTTTCTGGTGTCAGTGAGTTATAAGAAACATCTTGGTGGGGGGAGAATTTGGCAATCGGGCATAAAAATCTAGTATCAGAACAGGGTATAACCAAGCACTAGAAGTTGGAATCAAATGGAGATAGTCTTGACATCAGTCATTACTCTTCTAAGTCCATAGTGCTTAGAATTCCAAGGCCTGTGAATTGACACGGAAGAAATAGTAAAAGATGGACTTGCTGGAAGAACATGAAGTAAGAGCATAACTGGTTGCGGGGTGGGGGGGGGTGGGGGGGTGCTTTAACTCACAGCCTCCCGCGTCACTACAGAGGCAAGTGCTCTCCTCTCCTTCCTGATCATCCCTGAGTAGTTAGGGTTCAGAGAGTTCCAGAGGAGTTCGCAGTGGAGCCTGGCTCACAGCTCTGCGTGGCTGCGTCTTCCCCACCGTGCCCTCGCGTGCGCTCTGTGCTACCTTATTAACTCACAGCAGGCTTGTTGAGTGACTTCGCTTCAGATTTGGTTAATTCCCCCCCCCCCCAGATGCATGCCGTGTATTCTCAATAGGCTGTATTCCCAGCAATCAATAAATGGACACATGCCAAAAAAAAAAAAAAAAAAAAAGAGTCAAGAGCCAAGAGAGCACGTGTTCAGGAACAGGCCCTTTTAAAACTTTGCCTGAGGGCGGGCAGGGAAGCAGGAGCAGCGAATCCCATTAGGTTGGGGGTGGAGCCTGGCTCAGGTAGTTGGGCAATGCAGCCACCTGGCTAAAACTGCGCCAGTTTCCTAACATTACTGACAACTACATGTGAGACCTAGATGGAATTCCTAGCTCCTGATTTCTGCCTGACCCATGCCTGCATTTTGTAGGCATTTGAGTAGTGAACAAGTAGATTAATGATCCCTTCCTTCCTTCCTTCCTCTCCTTCCTTTTCTTCCTTTCCTTCTTTTCTTTCTCCTCCTCCTCCTCTTCTTCATCTTTGTCTTCTTGTCCTTCTTCTTCTGTCTCTCCCTCTCTCTTTCTTTCTTTCAAACTAAAATAAAGGGAACAAAGGAACTAAATAGGTGTTCTTTCAAGAAAAGAAATTCAAATTACAGCAGACAAAATACCCAACATCACTACACATTCAGGAAATGCAAATCAAAACCTCAATGAAGTGTCATTAGAATGGCTATTATATCAAAAGCAAAAATGCAAATGGTGATGAGTTTGTGAAGAAAATATAACCCTTATACACTTTTGATGGGAATGCAAATTAGTATTCCATTATAGATAACAATATTGAGGTACTTCAAAAAACCAAAAGGAATTATACCATATTAACCCAATTATTTCAGTTTGGAGAATATATCCAAAGGAAATTAAGTCAGCATATGAAAGAGATAGCTGAAATCTCATGTTCATTACGACACTATGTACAATAGCTAAGATATGGAATCAAGCTAGGTATCCATAAATGGATGAATAAAAAACATTGTATATATATTTGATGGGATATTGTCCAGCCATCAAAAAGAATGCAGTCTTACAATTTCCAGCAAAGTCAATTGAAGTTGAGGTTACTAGATATTAGGTGAAATAAGCTAGACACAGATAGACAAATATCTCACGTTCTCTCATGCATGTGTAAATTAAAAATAATATAGATAGGTAAATATCAGCATTTAAAATAGTGATAGATAGACGCTGGGAAGGGTGGCTGAGAGGAGTTTGGAAAATGGGCAATGAAACACAGCAGGGTGAATATAATTGGTTCTGGTGTTTTGCAGCACAATGGGATGACTGTGGTTCATAATGATGTGTAATATGCTATATAAAGACCTGGAAGAGAGGAGCTGGTAGCCTTCAAACAGAAAGAGAGATAAAGAAATTGACAGGATGGATACCTAGTATTGTTGGTTTACACTGTGTATAAATATTAAAATATTGTACTGTACCCCTTAAAATGTACAAATATGGCACACCAATCCAAAACTATAAATAAAGAAAGAATTAAATGTTTGCTGATTTATTATGGTAGGACTTAGCAATTTTTCAACCTCACGATGGTGCAAATGTGCAAATGTTATATTTAGTAGTATCCAATCTGGATTCATTCTTATGCTAGTGATATGCAGTCTATTCCTCTTTCATGAGGCTGAACAGAATTAGTGAAGCACAGCTCCCAGTCAGCCACAGGATTTCTCTATTGTTCTAAGAAGATCACTCCATCAGAATCAATAATTATTTAAACTATAGATAGCTGGGCCTCAGTGGAGATCAACTGAATCAGAATCCCAGAGGTGGAATCCAGTAATCTGTTATTTTAATAAGATCCCCACCTAAATACGTTGTTCAATAAAATTTTGGAGCCAAAGACATACTAACGGCATAGACCACCCTGAAATAGTGCAATCTTCATTTGCTTTGGTTTGACCATATGTAAAATAACTCAGTATCTCTTGAAGGACTCGTCAGTTTGGTTCAGATATTATTATAGCGCTTGAGACTTTGCTACCTGAGTGAGATTCCTCTATTATCCTTTAATAGTCTTCTGAGAGGTCTTCTCCATTTTCTGGCCCTCCACAGTCTGATCTTCAAGTGAACTCTTCCCCTAAGTACACACATATATCAATTTGTTACGCACTAGAGGTGAAATGTGTGAAATAGTTCTTTAAACAAAGCAAATAGAAAACTGGATAGTACTTCTGATTATTCAAATCTGAAAACAAACTCTTATGTCAGCAACATGAATAATTCAGACTAGAATTAAGAACAGTATCTCCGGATGGACATCATTATTATTTTAATTTTGAGTTTCATCAACAAATATTCTTGTATACAGAATTACAGCCAGTTTATAAAAGTGTTACTCTTTTTACAGCAAGCTATTTATCTGATCACTTGAGAAGGCTTTGAGGTTGGGAGTCAGAGACTGTGGTGGGAAAAACCTTTTTTTCCCTCTCAAGAACAAGTCATTCAGAGAATCAATCAATTAAAATCTTGACTATCAGGAAACCAAGCAACCATCTCCTCTGTCCCCAGACCACCCAGGCTTTCTCTCTAATCTATGCAGGGGCTTTGTAAATCCTGCTGTGAAACACAAGATTCTGAAGCCCAATTAAATATGTAGTCAAATACAAAAATGCAGACTCTTTATTCTAACCCAGCTACTGAATTAAATACAACAATGGATATGATTTATGTAGTAGAAACTGAAAAGTTTAAAGCATTTTGCACCATGGGATTTTTAAAATAGTGTGGTTAATCCTCCCTACCTTAATGACTCAGGGAATGAAAAATGCCCTTACGTGTAGGTGAAATGCATAGCCACCTAGGTAGTACTATTTTCAATGTGCCAAAATGTGTTCTTGCTCCAGAACTACCACTCATAGTTATATCAACCTAAAGTGTTAAATGATTTATAGTTTACCAAATAATTTCAAATATCTATCATATTTAATTCTCTCAACAGCCTTGAAATATGAAGCAGTATTATAATCCCAATTTATATATGAGAATTGAATCTAATACGTACAAGGAAAGTAATTATATTTTAAATACTTAGTATGTATGAATCATTTATCACATATGAATTAATATAATTGTCTCTTTAATCCCCTTTTTTCAGACGAGGAGTGTGAGATTCAGAGAAGTTAGGAAACCTTCCCAGAGTCACACAGTAAGTAATACATTTAGTAAGTAATAAACTGATTCAAACTTAGATCTCTGCTCTTCTGATTCCAGAGTCAAAAGTCTTGACAACTTGGGGAATACGATTCATTTTAAATCAGTTGACAAAATATTTAAACTTGAATTGACAGTATCTTAATTATAAGCAATAAGAAGTTAATTTAAAGTAGTTTTGGTTTTCCAACCAACTACACAACAAATAAAGTATGCCTTCAATTCCTTGACCTAACATTGAATTCTGACATGGCAAATACATATAGGTAGAGATATACACACACAAACATATACACATAAATATATCAGCATAATAAATTTATAGCCTTGACAGACTACTATAAACTGTCACTTCTTAGATTAACTTTCATCATTTTACTTATTAGCTTATGTTTGAAATAATTTATAATAGCTACCATATATGAACCCGAAACACATTACTTATATTTTACTTTTTATTTAGGGTATTTTTTAGAGTTATCACTAATATCTCACTTGGACGACTCAAATTCTCCCCCTCATTTCAACACACACATACACACACACACATACACACACACACACACACCCCATGTTTCTTTCTGTTTCTCTTTTCCTAGAAGGTGGATAAACTGACCATGATTATAGGTTCATTGGCACTTTAGTCTCATCCTAGTACCATGGAAAAATCTGAAGAACCCTATATCTGAAGCTCCAAACATCAACATTAATGTTAATATTGGCAGCATTGAGCTCATATTAACAGTAATTCCTCAGTAATGATCAATCAGTGTGTTTCTGTAAGAAAGTCCTTTTCTCTGTCATCAATATCAGTTACTCTTTGACAGGGTTCCTAGTCCTCAACATCCTACTACAGTACCACAAAACACTTCATGCTTCAGTTACTTGCTGTATTGTGTATGAACAAGCTTTCTGGGGTGTGAGCATTGTGGTAAGATGATTTCCTCTACACAGAAACACTTCTGTATGAATGTCAGAGTGCATGCATTAAATATACTGAATTAAACTCAGGTATCATACACATTTTAATATGAGATATTTCTGTGGTTATCCTAGGACTATAATTAGGAAACCATATTGTTAAATAGAAGACATATGGGCTCTGATGTCAGATTGACTGTGTCTGAATATTGTCCACAATTTGTTAGCTGCAGGGACTATTGGAAAATTATTACTTAACCTCTCTTTTTCCTCATCTGCAAATGGGTATAATTATAATTACCTTAAATGGTTGCTGTAGTGGTGGGAAGTGTGGTACAGTGGGTTAAGATGCTCCTTGAGATATCCACAACCTACACCAAAGTGCCTGAGTTTGAGTCCCACATCCACTTCCAATCTAACTTCCTACTAATGGATCTGGGAGGCAGTAGATGATGACCAGAATACTTGAGTACCTACACTACCCATATGGGATACCCAATGAATTTCATGGTTCCTGGCTTTGACCTGGCCCAACCTCAGTTGTTGTAGGCATTTGGGGAGTGAACTGGCAGATAAGAGATTCTCTCTCTCTCTTTCCAAAATAACATAAACAAAAAAGAAAGTTTGCTGTGAACAACAAATGTTTGATCTACAGAAAATGGTAAAAACAACTCAAGCTCCTTTTACTTATTGATTTTCTCATTAAACTTACCCTGCTGATACTTAATTTCAAGTTTTGACTATTAGATCAGGAAGAGGTATAGTAACCTATGTTGAAAGAGCTTCTGATGTCCATTTTAGAGGACCTGTCATAAACTACATCACTTAAAATGAAATATATAAATATTTTAAATCTGAAGCTCAGAACATGAGGAAAGCAATAATAGTCTATTGAACTTCATACACACAGGTCCAGCACTGAGACATATATTGTTCAATGCTTTTGCCATTGCCAGTGGTGAAACAGCCACACTCTCACCTGCTTATGTGCATCACTTACCAAACAGAATTTGCAGAACAGTTGATGGCAGAAATGACATGACTACTGCCTATAGTTGGCTCATTTTGGGATAATATCACTTTTTACTGAATTCCATGCTTTAATACACTGAATTAAATAGACACAGATCCCTAAAAATATCTAGTCTACTTTCTAGAACGATTTTTTAGATATATTAAAATTAAAGAGCTTTCTATGGGCACATCTACATGACGTTTTGAGAGTGAGTTAATGGATAAGATTTTTTGACAACTATTTCCCCAGAGATCAACATGATAATCTTCTTACCATCTTCTTATTAGCCTGATGGAAATAGAGGAATTCATTTTCATATCTCTGTTTCCTGGATTCCTTTTCTAAGCCAGAGAAAAAATATGCCTGCACTTACATATCTGCAAATTTTCTTTGAAAAATAAACCATGATTTTTGTGGAAAAACTGCATTTTGTAATACATGGTGCTCTTTTAGCACTTTAAGTCCTCAATATTTTGAAAAAAACATTGATAATATCTGGATATGTGACATGAAATGAGGGGGCATGGGTAATGAAAGTCCTTTTTAACTTAGCTTCTTTTATCCATATCCTTCTCCCCAAAGCAGTCATTCAGGCAAACAAAAGACATTTTATTTCTTCATTATCAAAGCTCAGTCGATAATTGAGGGAGATTGAGTTATTTGTAAAAAAGTAAGTTTTGATATGATACTCCTTTCATCTTTAACTTTTTTTAAAAAGATTTATTTATTTATTTGAAAGAGTTACACACACCCACACACACACAGAAAGGGGGTGTCTTCCATCCGCTGGTTCATTCCCCAAATAGCCACAATGGCTGCAGCTGCGCCGATCCGAAGCCAGGAGCCTGGAGCTTCTTCCAGGTTTCCCACATGAGTGCAGGGACCCAAGGACTTGGTCCATCTTGTACTGCTTTCCCAGGCCATAACAGAGAGCTGGATTGGAAGTGGAGCAGCTGGGACCAGAACCGGCGCTGATATGGGATGCCAGTACTGCAGATAGTAGCTTTACCTGCTGTGCCACAGATCTGGCCCCTCATCTTTAACTTTAAAATTTGAGTATCTTTAAATATTCCATAGTGGGTGCAACTTTATTAATTTTCTGGTTGATCTCTATATAAAGGATCCAATCAACGTTTTATTTCTATATCTGCCAAATATAAGTCCTAATTTGTATTGAAAATCTGAAAAGCAAAATTGCAAAGTGTCCTTTTCTTTCCTATCTGTTCTTGGCATAGAATGAATTCTTCTCTTCATCCCATATATACATTCTTCAAAACACAACCAAAACTCAATCTCATATATGTCACAACTACTCTTACAGTTCCACCTTCTGAATTTCCATTGTTGTCTTAGCTTATTCCATGCAGCTAATGATCTATTTATGTTCTCTATTATATCATTCCTTGATAGTTAGGATGTTAATCTACCTAGGAAAAAAATGAATTATTCTTTGAAGTCACTATGCCTTGCATATTTAACTGTTTTGTTTCAGTCCACACTCAACACAACTCTGAATGCATGCAGTAGGCATTCAATAAAGGTGTGTTGTCTACACAAAACCAAACAAGTGACAACACAGAATCTAAGACAATAATACATAAATGTATAATATCTTTTATGGGTTTGGAAATTTTTTAAGCAGCAGGCTTTGTCATCGTTTGAGATATTTGGTCCCCATGTTATACTTCTTCACGACGTAACTCCACTAAGATATCTTAGTAAGAAAATTTTTAAGATAAAAAGAACCCATTATTTCAATTATTTAATAGACATAAAATGGTTTCTTGGGACTTTGTTGGCATTACTCAAACAAAAACATTGCAATCTCCCATACATAAACTATGTATGTAAGTATGACTTACCAACTATCTCCAGGCATTAAGCAAAGATGCATCATTCTCCATGATATGGCAAGTGCTCAAAGGACTTTAACATTACAGTACAATTATTTCCCTAACAGTAAGTTTTCTTTTAAGGAGACAAGGAACATAATAAACTGAAGCAAGAATAGAAATTGAAGCTTTGAAATGAAGAGATTTCTTAATAGGGAACCATGCTAGGCAAGTGAACAAATTCCTCTAGGAAGTGTGTTAGGAAACATGCCACTTTCATCTTTCCTTGAGATAAAAGTCATTCAGTAGTGTAAACAGAGAGATAGGGCACCGTGGCGGGAAGCAGTGCACTTAGAGACTCAAAAGTTCATTTCCACATTTCTATCATGAGTTGTGTGGCTTCACAGCAGTGAGCATTCCCTCACCTTAGTAACTTGTATTTACGTATTCTCTCTCTCTCACACACAAATAGTATATCTATAAATTGAAAAATTTGGCATTTTACTTTGTTAGCTTTCCTTAAGAAAAAATGAAATATGCATCATTATTGAACTAGAGCGGTGTATATTGACAGAGAATAAAGGAAAGATGACCTTTTAGGTCCAGTCTGCACGCATCTCAGGTAAATTTAAGGAAATGTGCCACATTTGTATTTCTGTCTTGAGCAACATTAGCTGTGTCAAGTGAGAGAATAGTCATTGTAATTTCTGAGTAATTAATCTCTAGATCAATGACAAAAAAGCCGGAGAATTACACTGGATTAAAGTGGGGGAAAATATAGGAAATTTAGGCTGGAAGAATACAGATTTTTTTTTGCTAAAATGATATAAGGCAAAATATGAACTAATATTCATAAATTTAATATACCCATTCAGCCCTTATTCCTCCTCCCCAAATAGAAATTTCCAGAGCTCTACTATAGGGGGAAAAAAACCCTGCAAACTGAAGGGCTAAAATGAAAGCTAAGATGATTATTAGAAGGATTTTTATAGTGCTATTCTTGTTTCATTTTCACAAATAGAGAAGCAGTTTAAACCCACAAATCTCTGTTCCCCACCAACTTAATAGTATGCATCTTCAAACTGGAAGCTCAAATTACAAGATTAGGCAAAGTACTCTGCTCAATGTTTCCAAATTCAAAGAGGAGACTTGACAACCATCTTTTATAATTAAAAGTTTAAAAATAACTCTTAACAAAGGACCATGTCTCCATGGCTCCTCCAAATCCTTCTTAAAGTGATTTATCTTTCCAACTGGCCCGTACTAAAGTCAAATGTCTTTACCATCCGCTACTGTGCAAAAAGCAGCCCTACATTTAGCTTCAAAGGAGTGTCACAGATTTATTCCCTCCTCCCTCTCAGCTCCTTTTCTCCCTCCCTTCCCTAGCAACTGGTCACCCCAGAAAGAGAACTCCAAATCTAGAAAGAAGCAGTTGGTCCCCGGCTTCATTCGAGTTGTCAAGTCTCACTAACGCAGAAGCACAGGTCATTTCTCCAGGCTGAGTTGGCCTGTGTGGGCGTTTAGCTGGTTTTCTCCACCACCTCATAAAGGCTATCCTGATCAAATTTCTCCATGGCTTGTATTGAGAATGTGTAAGTACAAAATCGAGGGCAACTGTTTAATTTAAGGCAAAAGGCAATTTGAATTGCTTTACTGTGTGACTGGGGCATGGGCAAAGGAGTTGGAGGGCTTGTGGAAGAGGATCACAGGCAAAAGCTTGAAGGATATAAACTGACATCTTAAGAATGCTGCTGCATTTAAGGGCAGCAGTTTTTTCTTTCTTTTTTAAAAATTTTATTCAAGTTATACAAGTTTCATATATATAGATTTAGGAACATAAGGGTAGCAGGTTTTAAATTTAATTTTGAAACAAAAGTTGCAAATCCCTCGTGTCACCAGTGAGACTTAAATATGATGACATTTTAACTTTAGGATGTGGTACGGATTTAATGAAAGGGCAGTTTTTCAAAATTCGGCATTGAGAATTGAATGAAGTTTCATAACACGGAACTGGAGTGTTGTTAATGTAATTAATATTTCTTTGAATTCTGTGGAGAAAACAAAAATATTTTCCCTCAGAAGACTTTTGAAAACACTCTTGCCAGTGTTGGAATGCTGGGCTTAGTGGATCATGGCTGGTACGGGGACTTGAAAGAGTTAGCATTTTCTGTCCTATGCCTACGTAGAACCTATCTAGGTATTTTGGGGGGAAGATCTTGCTGCTTGGCGGTGGTGAGGGAATGGGGAATGGAGTAGGGTCACTGCGCATCCACAATGTGTAATCAAGAAGCAGGAGTTTAATAAGCCCACTAGTAAAAGGCCAGTGGGCTGAGGAGGTATTTCTTTGACTACAGGAAGAAAGGTAGTGCCTTTTTCCCCTGGTATATTCCACTGTGTCCTGTCAATCACTTATTTCAGATAATTTCTAACCACCGCATTTCTATTTTGAACTTTTTAAATGTTTTCAGAAGCCTGGGGAGACATGCTCCTTCACCCATAGTCGGCACTATGGACAAAAATGGAAACCAAGATCTGCACCAGGACATGCCCAAGGAATGTCTGAGTTCCATGCTAAGGGAAGATGTGGAGCCCTGGGGCCACACTCACGTCCCGCTGAGATCTTCCTTCAACGTGCTGACCGATTTGACAAGACAGCAACTGGAGCGACCCTCTGAGAGAACAGGATCCTGCATTCCTGTTGTTAGTTCCAGAGCTCTTAGACAGCCTTATGGGCCACCACCTGCTGTTGCGGAAGAGTCCCTAGCAACAGCAGAAATAAATAGCTCTGAGGGGCTGGCAGGCCGGAGGCAAAAGGGACAGGATTCTATTAATATGTCCCAGGAAGTCTCTGGTGGCCCTCCTGCACTGATGGTAGGGGGCACAAGAGTCAGCCATGGAGGCACTGAGAGAGGTGGCAATAATGCCAGGTTTTATTCGACTTTGCCAAGGGGTAAAGGTTTCTTTCAACCCAGGATCCCACAAGTAAGAGGCCCTCCACAAATCCCTACCCTTAGATCCGGGATAGTGATGGAGGTACCTCCAGGAAATCCTAGAATGGCCTGCCAGAGAAGGCTGGCTCATGTTTCCTTCCCTCCGGGAAGAGCACGACACCCCATGGATAGGTGGCCAAGGCCTATCCCACTGTCTTCCAGTACTCCAGGTTTACCTCCTTGCTCTACCGCTCATTGCTTCATATCGCCACAGCCTCCAAGTTTCAATCCCTTTCTTGCTATGCCCATTGCTTTTGCTCCTCCCCCAATATTTGCTCCTCCACTGCCCTCTTATTTTGCTCATTTCCCTTCCGGGGGAATGCTGGTTGCTTCATCCTCAAGCAGAGAGCATAACTGAGTGCAGAGAAGGAAGGAGAAAGAAAAAGATTAGGAGGAAAAGATTCAAGTTATTAGTTCATGGTTTTTGTAGTTGAAACCTCCTACCTGTCACACTGAATGTGCCTTATATACTTGGAGATTCAATAAAATTTCCACAACCTGAAAAAATTGTGAATTTTTTAATGCCACCTGGAGATTCTAAGCCTTGCATTGCATTTCCATCTTTATGATAATTAAGCCAAAAAGTGTGTGTTTTCAAAATATTTAAATTCTTTCCAATATTTTGTATTGACTTGTGTTCAAGTGTGACTGGGGGCAAAGGACACTTGAGTTGTGGCTAGGCCAAGTCTGGGATGCAGAATTCTTACCTATTGAAGGCCTACAGGCTTGGTCAGAGCTGGATGGGTGAATTCAGACAATGTCCATAACGACAGGCCAAAATCCATGTAACAGAAAAAGTGCACGAACAGTAAAAGGAGCCAGATGAGCCTGAGGTGAGAGTAACGGAGCTAACATTTCACAAACGGAGGCAGAGCCCGATTGAAAGGTCGGGAAAGAAGAACAAGGGGCAGATCACTGCTTCAATATGATCTACTGCTTCTTCCCAACTTGTCACTGTTGCTAAGTACATCACACATTATTAGTGAGAATTTAGGGGCAAGTTGTAATTGGACTGATCCTTTCACCTGTGCTCAGAACAAAGGGATTCTATCCGCTCAGAACTTTTGAATGCAAATGGAAAGATTTTACTCACATGGATTTTTTCTCCTATCCCGTTGTAGTTATATTCTTCATAATGTGTTATAATACCCATTATGATGGCAGTTGAGAGATTATGTAAATGTCCAGAGGGGTTACTATTGCAATCTTAAGTGAAAAAATACGGACATGTCATACAGTATGGAAAGATGGACATTTTGGTGTCTCAGTGACTTAATTCTATTACACAGTAAAGTACTCTAAAATACAGTGCTACTGTACGTGAACAATCACTAAATTAGAAATATCTCCAGAAGCGAATTCCTCAACAGTATTTTTCCTGTCGAGTGCTGATGGTGTAAATGATGTAATCAGTCAACTAGGATCTGACAGAATCTACAGATCCAAGAGACACCTACCCTAGAAGCAATACCATTATTAATGTGTTTTTAGCGCCCAATAATGGATTCTTTGCTAATCTGGCAAGAAGGACACATAGATTCGCTAAATGTCTTTTTCTCCATGTGTTCATAATAAGTTGTCCTAAATGTACAGGTGGTAGTGCAAGGCTTGGCAGGAGCATCTGGATAGTGCTTGATAGAATTCCCCTCACTCTGTTTACATCCCAAAGCTGGCACTATTCCATTCACTCACTGTGGTGGGTTGAGCAGAAGTATTCAGCAGATCATTTGACAGCTGCTCACTATGAGGTAGCTCAGTCCCAGTATACCAAACACTTATTGAATTTTCAGCCTTAATGAACAGAAGAGTGGGGCATGCTTATAGTCATCAAAATATCTTTTGAACCAGATGTTAAAAGATATTTTGACAAGAAATCAAGTTGTTGTGTTAACAGCAGTGCTGCATCTCTAGAGAGTTGCCAAAAGGTATGGTAAGTGACAGGAGGACAGGATCAGCTTTCCTTCTCAAAGGAAGTAGCTCAGATAAATACTCCAAAAAACTTTAGTTGCAGTTACAAAAATTCATAACAGATTCACTGTAACAAGTAACTGCCACCAACACAATCGGCTCCTCTTCAATACTATGTTTTCTTTCCTAATACACTTTTTGTATGTTATTTTTTGTGTCATTTCTAAATACTGAACACCTATCCTAAGACACAAAGAATAACTATTAGCAGATTGAGGGACTGATGCTTTCTTTATAGATCTGTGCTGTATGTTTTCTGTAGTTTATGCAAAGCTTTGTGACTATATGACAGCTTTCACTGAATGCAAGAGTCAAGCATGGAGTTCTGCTGCCAAATGCAAGTGAAACACAAATATTTGTGTTTATTCATGGCTTCTGTGCAGAAATACTGTATTACTTTATTATTACATGTCAGTGTCCACAAAGACAGCAAAACCTCTATCTTTAAACAAATAATTCTCTTTAAGAACAACAAGTTTTTCTGGTGACATATGAAATTATATTAATTCTGTGTTACAGCATCCTATTCATTTTGCAAAGTACTTATAAAGTAATGTATTAAACACTCTTTACATGTTTTCTCTTTATTTTCAATGGCTTAAAATCCCCTAAACACAAAGGGAAAGATAAAACTCAGTAAAGTAGCCTTTCCTTCAGATAAAAATGAAAGTGAGTTAAGTATTTCCTATTCTAAGTTATAATCATCATCACAAGAAGATTCATATTTTGTTGTTTATTATTTATTGTTCTCATTATAGTCTTTGTCACTGAACTGGAGCATCAAAATTTTAATCCATATATATTCTGTAGAAGATAATAGTATACTGTGCCACTTTGACCTTTTCCATTTACCCCAAATATAATGTATCAAACATTTCTATTTTCCATTGTTTACAACTTCTGTAGTATAGACAGAAAAGATGCAGATATAGTCAAAGTGCATAATACTGAAAAGGTTAAAGTTCAAATTTATGAAATTTTTAAAGTTTATAATCTTTCAGAAACCATAATAACATCAAAATTTTACCTCGTTCTTCTGAGAATTATTATAATAAAAATACTAAACACAATGAAATAATTTATTTTCTCTGAAATCTTAAATTAGAGGTCATAGTGTTATCTTCATCCACAAGGGAACAAGAAGTTAATTCTTTGGCTGTCACTAAATAATTAAATAACATGCAAATAATGAGAGAGAAAAACTGTTTTGTAACTATCACACTGAATTTTAACAATGACTTGCCATTGTCAGTTGTTAGTTTGAGATATTGCCTTTAAAAATCCTAAATATAAGACTATGTAAAATGAACAATTCAAGACCAATAGGCCAATCAAAGAAGGAGGTACCTTTCTCTGAAGGGAGGAAAGAACTTCCACTTTGACTATGACCTTGTCTAAATAAGATCGGAGTCGGCGAACTCAAAAGGCTTCCATAGCCTTGGCAACTCATGACTGGAGCCTAGGAAGATTACTGATGCCATAAACAAGAGTGTCAATTTGTTAAGTCAACAACAGGAGTCACTGTGTACTTACACCTCATGTAGGATCTCGGTCCTTAATGTGCCGTACATTGTGACTTAATGCTATAACCAGTACTCAAACAGTATTTTTCACTTTGTGTTTCTATGTGGGTGCAAACTGTTGAAATCTTTACTTAATGTATACTAAACTGATCTTCTGTATATAAGAGAAATGAAAATGAATCTCGATGTTAATGGAAGGGGAGAAGGAGCGAGAAAGGGGAGGGTTGTGGATGGGAGGGAAGTTATGGTGGGGGGAGCCATTGTGATCCATAAGCTGTACTTTGGAAATTTATATTCATTAAATAAAAGTTAAAAAAAAAAGACCAATAGGCCAAAACTAGAAATGCAAGAATTTTTAGGCAGGTAAAAAAAAACACTGTGTCATGTCACAGGCTAATTCCAAATCTATCATAATACATTGCATGTCTTCTTTATAATTAGCTTTAGTGAATGAGATTCCCACAAAAAAGCTAGTAATTAAGACCAAATAACATAAAAGAACTGATCTATTTTCTATTGTTTCTTTCTATTCACATTAATGAAAATGAATAATATTTATCAAATGAAGTCTAGATTTGAGAAGTCATAGAAATTGTTCTTGAAGAAATCTTTTTCTTATATACTTGGAAAAGTTCTGCTGTAGCTAAGCAATGGTATGTGCCTTCTCATTCACCATTGGGAACTTTATTGCTACTCACAAAAACTTTCTCAATATCTCCATTTGACAAAGAAACTTTCTGAGAAATTATTTTCATGAAAATGACTTCACTATTGCCTTTTGGAAATAGACCAGCATCCTGTACTACTTTATGGAGGTAAACTGATTATATTTTTCTCAATTCTGAAAATCCCCTTCCCCAAGTAAAATAACATAAAGTTCACAAATCCATCAATCTCAGCACAAAGGACTTTGTCTAGATAATAACTTTTATTCATATGATTTACAGGGAAACATATATATATATGGTGGACTTCATCCAATATTCTAATTGTAAGCACTGTAACTTAGAGTCAAAGCAACACTGGGGATGTAAGGGTGAGGTAATGGGTGGTGCTTGTTTACGTGATAAAGAGAAAAACAGATGGAGCTAGAAGATTAACAGTAGAGCTATGGAGACACTATTGGTTGAAAAGAAATGGAATGCTTTAGAATGGGAAGCATCCACAAATTGAAAATTCTATGGGAAATGGAATGAGTTTGAATGTGGGAGAATATAATCCAGAGAAGATAGTTTGAAAAGAAAGAAATGTTATAGATTAAGTGTTTCACAACAAAAGAGTAAGTGAAGGAGCCACACATTTGTGGGGGTGGGGATAAGGTAATTAGAGACACACTATCCAGCCTTCCTACAAGTGAATCTATCTCTACTGCTTCATTCCTTACTATAAATATCATCTCTCCCTAGATAGCAACCAATCTCATATTCAGTATGTGAAACTGGAAACACTTTCTGGTTTAAGTTTCATTAATCCCTCAAACTGGCCTTGACAAGCAAACACATCATCATCAAGGTTAACTACATTAGTACAGTGGGTATGCAATGAATTAGACTCAAATAAGAACATTTTCTCCTTGAGTCCCCAAATAAACAAGGCTCTGAATTTTTTATTAATTTAAACTTTAATCTTTTTCCCCCAAGTGATACATTGATCATTTTCTAATTTTGCCTTTCACCCTTCCCACTTAATCATAATTTTCTAGAGTAGAGTTGCTGGCTTTAAACACATTTCATCCAGAAAACAAGTACACAATTATTTTCCCCAGGGAGTTTATTTATGCACACTTTAGGTATGAAATTATCATAAATTCTGTTAAAACTTATTGGTATTCAATAGCTAATTATCAATGTACTCTACAATAAATAGGTTGAGTGTTGTGTGTTGAATGTTTTGTGTCCTAAAAAGTTTAAGTATAAATAGATTTAAAAAAAAAAAACCTTGTTGTAGTAATCAGTCATATTGGAAAAAAGATAGTCAAACATATATAAAGTTTAATAGTTTAAAAATACTTATGCAATATCCTATAAAA